CTTTTTTTTAGAAGATTTATTTGAAAGTCAGAATGACAGAGAAAGAAAGCAGAAATCGTTTATCTGCTGGTTCACTCTCCAAATGGCTGCAAGGGCCAAGGCTGATAACATTAACCTGTGGGTCTAACATTAACATTAGCCTGTGGTAACACTGACTTGTGGGTCTCCCACGTTTGGCAGCTGCTTTCTCAGACACATTAATGGGGAGCTGGATCAGAAGGGGCATAGCCAAAGCTTGAATTGGTGCTCCAGTATGGGATGCCAACACCAAAAGATGTGATTTCCCCCCTGTGCCATGGTGCTGGCCCCAGGTTTTCCTGTGTATAAAGAAGAACCTTTCCTAATAACTGAAAGAGCCAGACCTGCATACTGTTCAGACTTAACTCCCCTAGACAGGTTCATGATATGTGCAGGTAAACAGACTTACATGGTTTGTGATGTCATTGTTGTCCTAATTTGTAACCACAATAAAGTGTGGGAAGTAACTGTTATTAATGGAATGACATACAAAGGGAACCCAGCTTTGTTTTTTTAAAATTAGAGTTTTCTGAACACATTCTTTCACTTTAGGGTAAGGCAGGTAAGGCATTTCTCATTGAGTCAGAAATCTGATGCCAGTAAAATCATATGAAAGTCCTTGTGAAGTGGTAATCTTGGGCTCGATTATTGTGACAGCAGGTGGAGCTAGTGATGGGCACTCTGTGGTGCATTCAGAAAGCAGCAAGATGTATAAAACATTAATGTGTTTGTATTATAAGGCTTCAGGAAATGCATATGGTTACATATTGGCTTTGGAAAGCAGTTGTGTTAGTGCAGCATGAGAGCCAAACTGATTGAAATGTTTTCTGAAAAGGGCTTGCATTTGGACATGTGTTAGCTTGGAAGACCACAGCAAGTTAAAGATATGGTAGGGAGGGATATATTTGCAGTCTAATAACTCGATCTGTTTGATCCCTGCAGAATGTACTTTAACGAGTATTATGTGAAAGAACTTGATTATACATGCAGTTATTTGTGTTGTTAGATTGTTTCTTTAAACAATCTGAACTGTTTATTAAATAATACAGTTTGTGTCTGCATACATTTTCACCTAGTAAAAGCTGAACAACATTTTCTTTTTACATATAAGATTGCTAAAAAAAAAAAACACCTGAAAATATCTCTGAATTCCAATGTATTACCTGAACATATAATTTAAAAGACATCACACCACACAGATGCCTTGGAATTCTGCCTTTTATTCCCTTATCATTTCTCAAAGTCAGATGCAATGATGAGGAAAGTAGTTATGTGCTTCCATTTCCTTTCTTTCTGAAATTTACTTGTTTTACTGGTAAACAAGTATTATTTATTATTATGTTTATTATTATTTACAAGTATTATTTATTATTATGTATTAATAAATTGGAGTTTCTAAAGTCATGTGTGTGTTTTTGCTGGTTATATGTATTATGATTGGCCCATTGGGGGCAGTAGTTTGCAAAGTTGTAAAATTATTTTAAACACACAATGTGATGCTTTGCACTGAAAACTAGAAACAACATCCTTTAAGTTACTATTTGTTCCTTTTGTGTTTACTTATTTGGGAATAAGCTACATGTAGGAATCATGCTAAACACTGAGGGTGAAATTTTGAATAACATGACACTGCTTTCCTTCAACATGTCTGAGGCAGACATGTGGCCAAAGGATTACCATAAACCTCAGAGAATTACAGAAAAGGGATTCAGCAGAGAAACCAGAGAAGCCTTCATGGAAGAGTGAAGGCTTTAGTTCCATCTGGAAAGAGATATAAAAATTCACTAGAAAGACAAAAGGAGAAAGTGTGTGATGCAGGCAGTGGTGTGAGTTCCAGTAGAGCCTGTTGCCCTGCGGAGGGGGAAGCACCGGGAACTGGTGGAGGAGTTAATGAGGTGGACTGGGTCAGGTCACAGGGGCTTCTCGTAAGTGCCATGGGTAACTGGCAGTACTGCTTCCTGATGTCCCAAACTCAGAAACCTCTTGTTGTGCTTCCCCATTTTTTTCCCCTAGAAGTCTTCCCCCATCTTATGTTTTTACCCATATGTTTTTAATTCTTGCTAAGGAGAAATATTCAGAACAGCCATTTGCCAGCTTGGTTCCAATCCCCCATCAGAACTCACCTCACTACTGACCCACTCCTACCCAATTCTTAAAGCTTCCTGAAGACCCCTGATCAGAAGGCAGATTTAAACATGGTTCTTTGACTCTTTGCTTGGCTACCTTGTAGTAAATCGTCTCTCTGCAAAAAACCTTGATTTTGATGTTTGGTCTTCTGATACATGTGCGCAAATGGATTCATTTTGGTTCAAGCACACTATTACCACTGAATAAATTATTCAAAGACTTCACTCAGTCTAGATGGTGTTTGATTGATTAGCTCTTGGTGTCCATGAAACTGGTGTGACAGACTCTTGGGAGAGCATGGCATGATCAGACTTCAGTGGGAACCTCACCTGGCAGCTTTCAACCTGAGGGAGCTTCAGGAAGTGAATAAAAGATTATGTTGTGGGGGAAAAAAACCACACACAAAATTTCAGGGTTGGTTTGGTGGGGATTTTTGTCTTTTTTTGCACTAAAAGACTCTTTAGTCCAACTTTTACAAGAGATATTTGGAGTTGTCAACTGTGTCCTCTCGTCACAGGGTGATTAGATGCGAATGAAGCTATTTGAATTCCTATAACCTTTTCTACTGCTGGGGAGAAAACATGCTCCTTGTGATGGGAGGTCGTTGCAGTGTCTGCAGTCCATCCTTTGTGGTGTCTGTGGATCCAATCAACTGGGTCAAAAATATTTTGAAAAAAAAAGTTGTACTACAATTGTACAGAGTTCTTTTTCTCACTATTATTCCCTGAGTGTTAAAGCACTGACTATGTCACACTGACGTTGCATTAGGTGTTAGAGGTTATCTGGAGATGATTTAAGGTACCCTGCAGAATGCCCACAAGCTTTATGCAAATACTACACTGTTTTATAGAAAAGGTTTGGGTTTTGGTCCCTGGAGGAGTTTCTAGAAGCAATGACTTGCTGATAAAGATTTATTGAATGCCTGCCAGATACTCTCCTGGGTGTTGGGAGCTATGTCCTGTGTCGCCTTAGCTTCTCCTCTTTGGTTGAATGTTTGACACATCCCAGTTAGAACCAGTTGCCTCACCTCATCACCCTGCTCTTTCCCTTTAAATGACTCCCTGAACCACCAAGTTATCAAGCCAGCATCTCGAGATTATTCTTGACATTTGCCTTCTCAGTAACTATGCCTAATTCTCCACCAAGTTGTGTCATTTCTGCTCTAAAACATGACTGGAAAACTGCTGTCATTCCCTTCATTCCCATCGCCAGCACCCTAGCAACTGCCTCTCTTGCCAAATGTTTCTTGTCTGGTTTCCACATTTATATTTTGGCTTTCACCATAATTTTTTTTCCTTCTCAAGGCATTAGCCAGAAAGATCTACAAATCTGAATTGGGTCCTGTCACTTCTCCTGTGGGTCCTTCCATCTTCTTCCTAAAGGAAACCCAAATTATTTGCTGTGTTCTGTAAGGACCTGTGATTTCTTGTTCTGGCTGCCCTCATCAACCTCGTCTTCTGTTTTCTGTCTCTGCTTACCTTGGCCTCTTTCCATTCCCTACTTTGCCACCCCACAGCCTAGCACATGCTGTTTTTATTGCCTGGAATGCTGTTCTTCCCATTAGCCAGTTGGTAACATCTCCTGGCTTGGGTCTTAGCTTAAATGCCCCCCATTCAGAGCACTAGACTTCACCAGAATATGCCATTTGAAAGGATTCCCAGGACATCCTTCCACAACCTTCTCTTTTCCCTGTCACTGCACATGCCTCAAATTGCAACTTCAGATAACATTTGCTGTTGAACTGGTAGTCTGACCCTTAGCACTGGAATCACAGATGTTCTATTTTCTTCTCCATTTCCAGAACTTACACCAGGGGTTGGCACACAGTAGGTCCTAAAACGTTGTCAAAGAATCATTTAAAAACATAAAGGTGGATTTTGTAAAAAATGTATAAATCTTTAGTTATTAATGCAGAAACCATGGTGAATTAAGAAAAAATATTTCTGCATTTTTTTAAACAATCAGAATTATTTTAGGAAAGAAATAAAGTTTGGTATTATATCACCAAAAGGAAAAGGACTCGTAGAGTTAATTTGTGGTTTGAGGTTATTTTTCAGACATTGATAACTTCTTTTAATGGAAATCCTGAATTGCAAAATGAACTGCTCTTTTTACATATTTAGTACTCACTTCACTAAAATGTTTAAGTTCTTGGCTCCACTCTTTAAACCTACTACAAAGATCACATTAGAATTCATTTTCCTAGGCATTGTAAGCACAGTATCCAATCTCATATTATCATGCTGGGCTCCTTTATTATAAAAGTCGCAGGGAGCCGAGCCCGAGGCTGCTGAACACATCGTGGGGTGGATCCAGGGCTGGGGCCAGTGCCAGCTCTATTGTTTATGTCATATTCCCTCCACCTTTATGCGTGGTGTGCCATTGATAGCGCCTTTACAGAAACTGCTTCTCTGACCTGAGCTCCCAGTTGGAAAAAACAAAAATCCAACCCTGCCACAGTGACATCTGGCTGGGAAAAGGATGAAAGGAGCATGAGGAAAGCACCATTATGAGATCTTTAATAAGTAGTTTCGAGCCTGTCTCTTACCTCTAGTAAAGGGAAGAGCGATCAACGCTTCAAGGTCACTATACCCCCTGAGAAAGCTCATGAACCCCAAGCATATCCATCATGTTCACCACTGATGGTGAGATTGCGAGTGTTGGATCTACCTACCAAGCACTTAGCAAGCTATCATTTTGACTTTAAAGACATTTTGGAGTGAATGCTGTTCTCTGAAATTAAGATGAATTCTGATCATTTGTGGTATTTATTACTTTGCATTTCTGTTTCGATTTTTTCTTCAAGAGGAAAAAGACTCATCTCTGGCAAATTTCTCCCACCCTGAAACTTCTAGGTATATTACTTGAAGAGTTTTTAAAGATTATAAAGAAAAAAAAGGAGGCCCAACTGTATCGGAATGAAAGAAGACACATCTTCACGGCTTTTGATGTTCGCTGTAAGTGTGTGAACAGTACTAAGTGTTAATTGCAAAGGGGAAAAAAGAGTACTAAGTGTTTGGAAAATGGCTGCTGAGGAACTGTGAGTGGAAATGTATACTCAGGAAATCAAATATACAATACATCTGAAAGACCAGGTTCATTTTGCTGTATTCATTATTAACTTTAGGTGTCGGTATAAATTACTTATGTAGTGGTGTAATCTTAAATTACATATACCATTAATAAAATACTACTTATATAGATAATGTATATTTAATTTTTCTTTGCTTATTTATTTGAAATGCAGAGAGATAGAGAGACAGAAAGAAGGATCTTCCAGCCACTTGTTTATACCCTACATGCCCACAACAGGTGTAGCTGGGTCAGCTGAAAGCCAAGTTGAGACCCTAGTCTGGGTAGCAGGCACATGAAGGCTTTAGCCCATCACCAGCTGATTATGAAAGTGTGCACAGGCAGGAAGCTAGAATCAAACCAGGAGCAGTGCTAGTATTGAACTCAGGTTCTCTGATGTGGTAATTGGGCATCTCAAGCAACATCTTAACCACTGTGCCCAATACCTGCCCCAAATAACAATGACATTTATAGAAGAATCTTGGCATTTATACATTGGACCTCCATATTTATGTAGTATAGCTGTATTGTAATGGACATTGAGAGACTGTCCCTTTTGGGGATATAGACCACAAGCCACCTATGGAAGTTGGGAGCCACATGACCTGCCCCTGGGGCTCAGCCTCCCCTCACATGTGATTGGAGGAATTGTTTCACCACACTGAATGTGACTGAGGGAGGTGCCTTTAGATGCCTGTGCCACACACGTGGGACAAAGGTCTCAGGAGGCCAAGCTCAGTGTCTTGACTTCTGTGTAATGTTTCCCTAGACAGTAATATGCCATAATTCTAACACCAAACAAGAAATAAGAAAACCACATGAATTTTGAAGACTGAATTATTTTGGCAGCTCATATAGACAGTTATGACAGTGTTTATCTCCAGGTAGTCCTTTCTGTGAACAAATGGTAGGATTGGAAGTGCCCGTCAAGGTCACCCAGGAGTGCACGAAGGAGAATGTTGCTCCATTCAGATTCTTCCACCTTGGAGTCCCCCTTCGATTGCCATGTATGTAAAGTCAGCGATACATTACTGCCATTCTTCAAGGACTGTGAAAGCAAAGGATCACACACAGATTATGGCTGTGGTAGCAATGCACTGAAGTTGTGGAAGTAAAAAAATGTTTCATATTTTATTTTCTAATAGATCGTGGATTTTTGACTTTTGAAGATTTCAAAAGAGCCTTTCAGGAGGTGGCTCCCAGGTTACCCGAGAGGACTGTCCTTGAGGTCTTCAGGTAAGGCAACAGCATCTTCAGTTGCGTCTACGCTTTGACTTACCATTTGTGTTTACAAGATTTATAGTTATATATGCTAACTTTTCATTTGCAGACATTTTCCTCTCATAGCATAGGGTCATAATCTGGACGAGGACTCAAAAGTTATCTGTGAATCTATCCATACATTTAGTGCTTATATCCCAGGCAGGCGCATGAAAACATGTTGGTGGGAGTAAGACAAGAGCAGGAAGGAAGCAGGGCTTTGTATGTTTGTGCAGTGAACAACAAAGAAAAATGGGGATTCGAATGTTGTGCCCTGGTCTGTATTTTAGTCAAGGCCTCACATGCTTCTTGGGATTATATGGAGAGGAAAACGGGCATCAGCTAATGGTGACCCTTGTTCATTTGCTTTCAAGGCTGCACAGGTTGCAGTACACACTGAACTAACTTAAAATGTACGTAAGGATTTGTGGGTAGAGGTGTGGCAGGTGTCTGGCCTAGTGGTTAAGATGCCTGTCAGAACATGTGGGTTTGGTGCTCACCTTCAGCTCCCGTCTCTAGCCTGCTGCTGACCCTGGGAGGCAGCAGTGATGGCTTATGTGGTTGGAGCTGAGCACCCCACGTGGAGACTGAATGGAGTTCTTGGCTTTTGGTTCTAGTCTTGGCTGTCACATTTAGAGAGAGAACAAGCAGACAGGAGTGCTCTCTCTGTCTCTCAAGTAGATAATTTAGTTGTTTATTAAAATATTATTGTATTATATAGTTTTCTGAAGCAGTTCTGACAGAGTGGCCAAGTGGCTCAAAAGCAGCTTCCGCTAGGAGACTGCAGCTCAAAGGCAGTCAGTATGCACATGAGTGCTGACGTGAGAAAGTGGCAGAGCTGTCATCGCACTCCGAGCATGAGCCTTCATCAGCTCTGGTACCAGGTGTGTCAGTCAGGGCTCAGTACACCAAGGAGACCTAAAAAACTCCAAATAACAGAAGAAAGGTGGAAAATGTGTTTCTTGCCCAGACATAGGCAAGTAGAGCTGGATTACGGGAGGCTGTGCAGCCCCCAGTGTCACCTCCCCCACTTTATTGTTGCTCTGGCTGTTTCAACACCTGGGTTCCCCTTCTTGCCTCCAGATGGTTACTTGAGTTGAAGCCCTCCAATCTGAATTCCAGCCTGTGAAAAGGAGAGTAAGCAGAAGATGCACTCTGCCTGTTAAGGCCATAGATCTTTCTCCTTATATCCTAGGGACCATATCTTAGTGCCAAGGCCATGCATTACTACAGGGGTAAGGGGGCTTGGAAAATGGAATCTTGGTTCTGGGCAGCAGTCATATGCCCCTTAATGGAGGTGCTGATACTCAGGAGGAAGAAGAGAATGGGGACATGTGGCACCTGTTCTCATTTGGGATAAAAGCAGTTAATGAATTCTGACCAGCAGCCGCCCTGCTCAGTACAAGTTCTCAAGCAGGTGATCTGAATAAGGATTTGCCCTCATTGTCATTGCCCTATCAAAGCCATTGAGTCCTCTTTTGAAGATCAGAAATATTGAACCCAGACATGGATGAAGTGCTATAGGATAGTGGGCTCAATGAAAGTTAAGTCCTGTGAAATACAGTGACATCTTTGTTTATACATTGTAGTGAGGTGTATGCTTACCACACAGAGGCTAATGTACAACAAAGGAACTACACACTGTCCCCTCTTTTCCTTCTACAAAAAAGACAAGCAAAAGTTTGCAGAGGTTTATGTGTTAAAATGGTTTTAGTAGATGCTACCTTATAGAGATACTTATAGAGTACATATTTTTGAACAATATACTAAAGTATTACCCTTCAAGTTAAAAAAAAAACATGATTTAGCTATAAATGAGAAAGTGAATGGTACTTGGATAAAACCTGTTCTACAGAGAGAACTTTTGCTTAAAAGGATGTTTAGAAATGTGATTTTGCTTTAAAAATAATGTGTATCACCTGTTAAAACTCCTCCTATCTCTGTGTTCAAGAACTTAATTTGGAAACTTAAAAACTTAATACATTTTCACTGGCTTTAGGACATAATTTTTTAAATATATAACTTCAGTAGCTTTGAATACATCTTTAAGAGCAACTAATCCCTATTGGGAAAGATGAACGTTTATTAGTTGAGTTTTAGTTAGCAAGCAAACAATAATTAAAAAGCAAAAAAACCAAAAGAAAACTGAAAAACCTCTAACCTTCCACAGCATCAGAGAATAGATTTTTCTATTATGCCATGGTACCCTTTTCTCCTCTAGATACACATATTTTCCGGAAGTGTCTGTGACAACTATTATGACTATATATTTCAATAAATTGAATTTTAAATCACTCAGTCACAAGAGAAGGGTTAAGTCAAGACGCTCAGAAATAATAAAAAACATTGAATTGTAATATTCTTATTTAACATTATTAATAATTTCTAATGTTATTTGCTGGCATTAATAGCATCAAATTATTGAGAAATTCTATATTAAGTACACATATTAATAGTCTAGCCTCTTACATATAATGTATAAATGCATATATTTTATTGTGGATTGTATGTCTGCTAACTTTATGCTACTTAGTAAGATTGTGTGATCCAGATTTTGGAGGCCACTGCAATAGCAGAACCCATGCAAGTTGTTTGAGTTGATTGGACATACACTGTTTAAGCTCTCAATGATATTTTAAAAATAATTTAGCAATCCCTAAATCAGAACAAATAATAGATAGAAAGTATTAAATGAAGTTGTGAGTCCAGAAAGGAGAATTCACTAGCGTGAACTGAGGCTATATCAAAGATGATGATGTTTCATTACTATGCAGAGGTTCTTAGGAAGTTATTTTCTTGACGACTTTTTCCCCCTTCTCTCAATATTCTCTGGAAATAGCAGCATTCGAGAGACATAGAGCTTTAGAGGACTATTTGGACCATGAGAATTAATGTTAATTTAATTAGACTGTTTCTAGCACCAAAAGATTAAAATAGGAACTAACTTCCCTCTGTAGTACTAATAGAACTTGTTGAAAACTTTGTGATGCTGTTGTTGATGTTCAGAAATCTAGTGACTTTGGAGGGTCAAGCTAACCTGGCTTCTTGGCATCTGCTGCCTTCCCAGCATCTGGTTCCCTTTCAAACTCATCCTTCGTTAGTCCCAAATCCCTTGGTGTGTCCCTGTGATTGGGCGATGCGCATGTTCACTTGTTCACTTTTGCTTTCCTTTCCTGGCTGTTCTTTTTTCTCCTCCCTACATATGCAAATTTGAATTTTAAGGTCACACTCAGAAACGCTTTTCACCTTAATCCTTCTGCCTTAAACAGCTTATTTCCTTTCTTTACATATTGACAGTATTTATGATGTGTGTTTTCAATCACTTGGTAAACAAAACTACAATGTTTATTGTCACCTCCATAGCATACCTCAAGCCTTCTGTGTTTATGGACCCACCTGTAATCTCCACGGCACTGGCCTGCTGCCTTATGCATTGTTGTAGTTAATATGTAATTATTGGTTTATTGTCACTTAGACTGAATACCAAAGGACATGAAATTCTTGCTTACGGTTTTCTTCATGGTTTAATTTATTTCTTATAAACTGGTAAAGAGTACTTTAAACTACAGCCAGAAGCTTTATGACCACATGTGGCTTTGTTTTCCATTTTCTCCTCCATGTGATTTTCATGAATTGCTCTCTGACGTCCTTTTTTCTATTGTATTTTTGGGAGCACTTTCATTTCATGATTTAGCCCCAGCTGTCAGCAGAGAACTAGCTTCATGTTCTTTCTTGATTCTGGCCGCCATCAGCCCCCTGTGGTATTTCTGGCTGGTGTTTTGCTCTGTCTGAGTCTCTTGACTTATCCATGCCTTGGAGCCTTTGCCATCTCACCGTCAGCACTGAGATTTGTACATTCCCACCACCTGTCAGTTGGCAAAAGGCTTTGGGAAGTTTCCTTTGCCTCCTAACTATGAATTGAAATGTGGACATGCACAAGGCCTGTACCCTGACCCAGTGCCCAAGATTCTGAGTTCATGAGCCAGTTACCATGAACTAAAGTAAAATGAGAATATTGAGATGCCAAAAATGTGCGCCAGTCACAGCTGAAGACATTGAAAGCTATATCCTGGTATTTTGGTGTATGAATCCCTTTCTTTGTATTTATGGAGGAAGGTCAGAGTACACGGAGCATCTCACTCTTTTTTGGGTGTTAAAAATTGGTTCCAAATAAGAGCATCGTGACTTGCTGAATGAAATACGTTCAATGTCAGTATGTTAGTGGGGGGTAGGGACTTAGGAATCCAATTGTACAAGGGAGTGATGGATAGTCTCTCAAATACCTCCTGTCACAGCCATTATAGAGGGAAGGATTGTCCTGAGCTTGAGTAAACCAAGAAATGCTGTATGCAAGACACTCTCACAGGACCTAAGGGAAGAGGTTTAAAGTAGCATTTATTTTTGTCGGATCATTTGCATCTCTTTTGAAATGCTGCTCCTCACTGTGTTTTTCAGCCTTCTGAAATTCCTTTCTGCCAGCAGCAGACTTGTTGCATATTACTTTCTGGGACAAGTCTAACAAGAGAAGATTTCCAGTCATCATTTGCGACATCAGAGTGATTCCTCTTTAAGTGGAGTCTTGTGACTGCAGTAAAATTGCAGTTATTATCATGAGTACCTACTCCAGGGAATATTGTTATTGATCTGTAGTATCTGCAGGCTTCTGTGTGTAGAAAAGCATGAAGAAGACCAGATATCAAAGCTATTTCTTTGTAGCCATACGTTGATAGCAGTCACCAGCTATATCTGCAGAGTCATGGCCCAAGCAGTGGACTTCCTGAATTTTCCATTTTTATTTTCATTAATATGTGTGTGTCAAAGTTCTACTGTTAGGTTCCCCTTCCCCTGGCTGACTAGCCCCTTGGATGTATTTACTGGAATGGGGGAGTTGGAGTGTGGACTTCAGAAGATGACGTCAAAATTTACATTCTGAGGGACTCTTAGGACTTTCACGTATCATATATTGAATAAAACTG